TCCCTGGGAGGTAACCAGTAGAACAGGTTACCTACCTGACCCATCAGCTACTCTGCTGGGCTGTGGGACAGACAGCAGCCAGTGCGGGTCCCCCACAGCCCAAGCCTAGCAACCAGCAAGGTACCAACACTACATCACACCAGCTCACGCTGGGTCCCACCCCACTGTGCACCAGCCTTTTAAATGTATTAAAAGTACACAGCAGGGGGACCTGGCGCAAGCGGGGAATCAGCTTTCCCGGCTCGTGCTGGGTCCCTCTTGCTACACTTTAGCTTTTTAAATGTATTAAGAGCCTGCAGGCTCTTAATACATTTAAAAGGCTGGTGAGCAGGATGGGGACCCTGCATGAGCTGGGAATCAGCTGTCCTAGCTCGCACTAGGTCTCCCCTCCTGTGCTTTAGCCTTTTAAATGCATTAAGAGCCTACAGGCTCTTAATACATTTAAAAAGCAGAGGCACAGCATCTGAGATTGGGCATGAGCTGGGAATCAGCTGATTCCCGGCTTGTGCCCGGTCCCCGTTACCCCGTCTCCACTGCCCACTGTGGGTGCTGGGGGGAACTAGTGTCCCCCTTCCCCTTTGGTCCCAGCACAGACTATTAGTGAACACAGCTTCCCCAGGATAAACTAGGGAATCCCAGCCCATGGGAGCACCTTGCCCCGCATCCTAGGGGGAATCTCAGCCCACAGGAGCACCCTCTGTAACCTGGGGAAGTCCTAGGTCCTGGGAGTGCCCTCCCTTCCCTCATCAGGTCACAGAAGGTATGCTCCCTTGTTCCAAATCACAGCCTCGTAGGACTGGCTGGGACCATGAGAGGTCTTCTAGGCCAGTCTCTGGCCCTCAGGGCCGCACTGAGGATTAGCAGTGGCAGGAATTAGTAATGGCTGGAGGAAGGCGCTCAGATACTGACAGCTGGGCAGGAGACCGATGGGTGCATGCTCAAGTGATGGGGGTGATGGGGCACTGTCAGGACGCAGGCCCCTCCAACTCTAGCTGACTCATGATTGGTCTCAACGGTCCTTCACTTTCCCCAAGAGAAGGTCTCCCTGACAGAGAGCCTGCCCATCAGACTCAGAGGGACCAAAGGCAGGCCAGGCCCATCAGGAAGGATGTGCCCCCCTGCCATCTGAGCAGCTCTTACCTCCCTGGCCCTGCTGTGGTACTCCCTGCCCACCGAGTTCCTCTGACCACCACCCACCTTCCTGCAGCGCCACAGTGACCAATCCTTCCTGCTAGCTGCCCACCCCAGGCTGCCCCCCTGCCTGCTACCCAGCTCTGACTGCCCCCTGCTGCTGCAGCGCTCCCTGCCTGCTGAGCAGCATCCAACACCCTCTGGCACACACTGCCCTCTCAGAGGCATCAGCCACCCCAGCTCTCCCTGCCCATGAGCAGCTCTGACCTCCCAGCTGCTCCACAGTGCCCCCTGCTGGCTGATCTCACAGCAGTCTGGGCACGAGTTGTTTGCCCTTTGGGAAGGTGGAAGTCCCCAGGGTGCAGGGAGAGGCAGGAATGTGACTGCCACCTCCAGCTGGCACAGGTGGGTTTGGGTTAGCCTTGGGTAAGCGAGCCTGTGGGCTGGACCATCCAAGGATGGCTCCCACCCTGAGTTTATATGGAGTGGGAGGGTGTCTGTGCAGGGCCCAGCTAGGGGTCCCAGTTGCCCTCTTTGGACCATACCTCTGGGGGGTAGTGAGGCATCAGCGGGGCCTCCCTACAACCCCCTCCCTCCGCACTGGGTAGCTGCAGCATGAGGAAGGATCCACCAGTTGTTGCCCAGAAGGCCTGGTCAATGAGGCTAAGCTCGGGCACCTGTCAGCCCACTGGCAGAGGCCAGGTGCCCCACAATTGAGCCCTTTGTGTCAGTGATGAGTCCCCACAGCTGGGACATCAACAAAAGCTACTTTTGCTTCTGCTTTTCTCCTGCTTGTCAGCCGGTCCTGGTTGCCCAGCCCCCATTATCCCCTCCCCCACCAAGGGGACCCAGCTGCAGAGGCCCTTTTGAGTCCTATACGGAGACAGCATGGAGCCAGTGAGACCCACAAGGAGCTGGGGGGGAGGGGGAGAGGGAGGCTAAGCCAGTGCTTCCCCTTACACTTGCCAGCCCCACCAACACACACAGGGAGCTTATCCAGTCAGGCAGCTGCAGTGCAGACAAAGGGAGCTTTCCCAGAGGCACTCAGCCCCAAGTGGTGAGGAGAGCGGGGTGGAGGAGACGAGCAGGGGGGATGGCAGAAGCTGTGTGGATGGGACACTTTTCTGCAGTGGCACCGTCCAGCACAGGAGACTGGCTCAGCGAGCAGCCCCCTTCACCGCTGCGTATGCTATTCTGGCACAGCTTGAACGTGGGGGTGAGGCACCCAAGGGAAAGCAGCACCTGAAAACATGAGGTTTGCTCCAAGGGTGAGCTGTGATCCCTCGCTGGATACTAGCAGCCAATGGCTATTCCACCAGCAGAAGCCAAGTCTTGAAGCTGCTTTGAGCAATTCAGGCTAAGGACCACCCTTGTTCCCACCCCCAAGGTCAAGTGCCGTGTGTGTGGTCTCCTTTCTAGGGCCAGAGGCCCAAAGCTGCTGGCCAGTCTCCATGTGAGTCCCTCCCCCTGCATGTTTAACCCCTTACTGCCTGAGCATCCTCCCCCTGTCCTTGCCAGCCCCCCAACACAAAACATATGGGCAACCTGTGATGTGCCAAGTGGCCCTGGCTATAGGAGGGCTTTTTCCTGTGACTTGGCTGTTTGAAGCCAGAGATGCTGTGCAATGGTCTAGTTCATAGGCGCTGACTCCGGGGGTGCTGTGGGGCCGGAGCACCTTCAGGAAAAACATAGGGGTGCTCAGTCCTGCCAATATGCTCCTCCCCCTCTCTCCCAGCACCTCTGGCCTGCTGCAGCTCAGCAATGTGCAGGCGGTGCTGGTGAGGGGAGAAGGGGGAAGTAAGGGTAAGGTGTGCTTGGGAGAAGGGGTGAGGCAGGGGTGTGGCCTTGAGGGCAGGGATATGGCAGGGTCGGGCACTTCCAGGGAAATGAGAAAGTTGGCACTTCTGGCCTAGTTAGTGGGGGCTGGAGCTAACCCTGTCCCACATTAGCCCTCCCTGCACTCCTCCAGGAACATGCCCAGGCTCAGATTTGCATGTGGCAAGCCGTGAGTTTTTCTGTGCTGACGAATGCCAGGAGTAAACAGTCCCTGTAGCCATGTTGGGCCCAGGATATGAGAGAGACAAGCTGGGTGAGGTCATAGCTTTTAGTGGAACAACTTCTGGTGGTGAGAGCGCCGTGTTTGTTTCTTCCACCAACAGACCTGGTTCCACTAAAAGCTCTGACCTCACCCACCTGGTCTCTCAGGAATAAACAACAACTGACACACTGGGCATGGAGAAATGACCTTGAGCCCAGCCTCTTCATCCAGGGCACCCGCTGCTTCAGGAAGAAGGGCAAGTCCTGCTTTATGTTCCCTTAGTCAGTCCTGCGGCCCCCTTGCTATTCCAGCCTGGGGCTCCTCACCAGCAGCCCTCTCAGTTACTCCTGCTTTAGGTCTCTTTGGGGAGAGCAATCCAGCATGGTCCCCAGACACTGACTGTCACGTGAGCCATGTGGGAAGCTGGCTTCCTGGTGGTGAATGGCTGCTACGTTACCACAGACAGCTGAGATGGGGTGGGACATGGGCCCCAGACATAGTGTAGAAACAGACCTGGAGCTTGACTTGCAATTCATAGGCTGCTGGGCTATCAGGGTCGGAAACTTGGTCTAAGTTTCCAAGCCCCCTAAAAATACTGCAGGGACTCAGCGGGCTCCCTAGGATGCTGACCCAAGAGCTGCCGCTCAACCCTGCATTTCCCCTCCAGGGACTCCCCTAAGTGAGAAATGACTTCACAGGATGGCAGCTGGGCAGGGCTCCCAGCACAGGAGGGTGGTGCTGCCCAGCCAGCCTGGCTGGCCAGATGCTTCCCGGCCTCCCAACCCGAGTCCCTCTGCTGACTTCCAACATGGCTCCTTCCAGGACCTGAGCCAGCAGCATCACTGGCTGGAGCATGGCCCACTGGCACCTCAGGCCCTTGCCAGGCGGGCTGTGGCACAGCCATACTGCCCACTAGTGATTGTCCAGCAGAAATGCCACAGGATATTACACACTGGTTCAGAGGGCAGTCAGGGCTTCAGGGCAGATTCCTAGCTAACTACTTTTCCAATGCAGTAATAGCACTGCAGCTTCACCTCACCTGCCCCGGGGCCACAACTGGGACAGCACACACATGGGACAGCTGTGCACAGAGCTGAAACCCAATGGTGTCGCTTTACCCCTAGAAAGGCTGGGTTTTCCCCTCATGAGCAGTGACTAACCCAGGGCTTGGGGATTCCCTCCATCCACCCTTCTCTCCCCAAGGCTACCTCCCCAGTTCAAGGGCTTGGGGAGAGAAGCCTAATGGCCCCTTCGGCCCCCGCTTTCTCCTGTTGCTCCCCCAGACAGCACTGCCCCTCTGCTTGTGACCCACGAGAAGGCAGCTGTACCTTCCCCTGCACTCCAAAAAACAGGATCCCCTTGGAAGTTGGGCTCCAGTCAGGCACTCTGACACAGCTGTGTGTCTCATCCCCACAGGCGCTGGGCCCTGACACAATCAGAACATTGCCACCTGCCCAGTCCCCTGACCCCCAAACCCTAGTTCAGGCTCTACCTCAGTTCAGCAGAGATAGGGAGAGGAGGCTGTCTGACAGCACCTAGAGTGGGGGAGGAGGAAACACTGACAGCACCTGCTATGCTATGGTACAATGACAGGGAGGGAGCAGTGCCAGCATCCTACTACTCAAGGGCTGATCCTCAGGCTCTACCCCCAGATGCAGCTGGAGAGGGACAGGCACTTTGCTCTTCTCCAGTGCGGATGGGGGCTACTTCCTTACTCAGCCTAGCCCAAAGGGCTGCCTAGGGGCCAGGCCACGCACAGGCCTAGGCTGATCCTCAGCTCCGTGCCCCTTGCCGGATTTAATGACCGCAATCACTCACTGCAGAGGCTGCATTCGTACAATTCACTATTTATTATCCAGGCTACACGGTGAGCAGGGGCCGGGGAGGCAGCTCTGCCAGCCGAGCAGAAGTGGTTATTTCCACAGCCATGTCCCTCAGAAATGCATAGGCAAGGAGGTGGAAGACCCAGTGCTAGTGCGGCTGCCCAGATCCCTCAGGGCAGGGGCTTTGGACAGAGCCTGGGCCAGCCCACTGCAGCATAGGGGTAAGAATAGGAAATGAGGGGTGAGAAAGGCACTCGTGCCTGGGGGCATCTCAGCCCTGTTCCAGTCAAGACACCGGGGGATGGTACAGGGGAGAGAAAACCCTGCACTTCTCTCTAGGGCAGTGGCTCCAACCCTTTTCCAGCATATGGACCCCTTTTCAATCTATTACAATTTTACAGATCCCCCCTTCCAACAATATAGCTGTGCCTGCAGATCCCTCAGCGTGAGTTGCTTCCCGCTACTCGGGAAGCAACGTGGGCTGAAGGATGTGCTAGCTGCGCGAGGCTCCGTACATTTTAAACTTTCCGTGGACCCCCTCCAGTACTATCGCAGACCACTAGGGGTCCATAGGCCACAGGTTGGGACCTACTGCTCTAGGGCAGTGTTTCTCAACCTCTTTTTATAAAGTACCCCTTAAAAAAAAGCCTCTATAAGTACCCCCAGTACCTACAATGTTCAGACACACACGATTTTTTTCTACCGTTGCAACACATTTGTTTAAACAACTTAATCGTAGCCAGGCGGGCGATGACATTTTGGGTGTAAAAAGTACAAAAATAATAAAACGCTGTAAAACATAAAACAAATTTCAGTTGTGTTGACGTACCCCCCCAGACTTCTCTCGAGTACCCCTAAGGGTACTCGTACCACTGGCTGAGAAACACTGCTCTAGGGCAGCTATAGGGGGCAATGTGCCTTGCAAAACAGCAGGGGGCAGAAGAGTAATGTCCACCACAATCTTGTTGCGCTCAGCAACCCCTGAGATGAAGAGACGGAGGGCTCGTCTATCCCACTTTTGCTGGTGTAACTTATGTCACTCAGGGGCGCGGGGAAAACCCACACATCCTTGTGCGATATAAATACATCAGCAGACACACCCGTGTGGATAGCACTATGTCGGCAGGAGACACGGTTACCGCTGCTCGGGGAGAAGATTTGATTATGCTGACGAGAGAGCTCTCTCCCATTGGCAGAGAGCAGCTACATAAGCAATATTAGAGTAGCGTGGCTGGATTGGAACAGCTGTGCCATGCTAAACTCTCTAGTGTAGACAGGGCCTGAGACCCAGAGCAGCTGAAGGGACTTGTCTAAGGCCACGCAATGGATCAGTGGGACTAGGACCCAGAAGTTCTGACCCACAAAGGGGCTTTATACTTTGGTCATGTCCACATTTAGAAGGTGCTGAGGCACTATGGTGATGAGCGTGTAAGTGCTCAGAACAGCTCTGCAGCCAGAAGTCCTGACTCCCCTCTCCTTCCTCCAAGCACTCAACCAAACTCTCCTCTCAGAGCAGGACCAGAATCCAGAAGTCTGGAGTCCGATGGCCTGGTTCTGAACCACTAGACCTCTCCCCTCTACTCACATGCTCCCTCTTGGTTTTAACCAGAGGCAACCCCCACCTTGCCTGCTGCTCAGCCCCAAACAAAGGTGCAGAGTTATAATTCCCAATACTGAGCCTTGGTGGGATTCACTCACAAATATCAACCTACCAGAGCGGGCCAGAGCAGCCCCCCAGCAAGTGACACAGATCCCACTTTGTTCTCATGGGAGCCAGGTCTGCACCCTGCAGTCAAGTTGCATCCCTAACTAGCACCCTGCTACAAGCAGCATGAGTTGCTGGTCTGAAGCCCACATGCAACAATGCTCTACATGCAGCATATTGTCCCCAAGCACCTCCTACTGGAGGGTACAAGTCACACTCAGCCTGGGAAATAATCTAGAGAGGCTGGGCTACAAGCTAGCTAAAACCCTTGTTATGGGTGGAGTTGAAACCCTTAACTGATGTGTGAATGAGTCCCTCATTTAACCCCACCGTAGGAGACAGCGAAGGGGTCACACCTGAAAGAAAACATAATAGTCTGCTCAGAAACTAGCATGCGTGCAACTGGGTCTGGTCAGCAGGTGGATGTGGGGGTGGGGGGAATAACACACAAATGGTGTGGCAGACAGAGTGAGAGGCAGGCAGGAGGAAAAGCTGAAAGCACAATGGCTAACCTGGAAAGAAACCTGGAGAGACATTTATGTGCCAGGGTGCAGGTGAAAAGAAGTGGTTAAGTGCTGTGTACCAAAGAAACTGGTTCCTGCTATTTGATTCCCTCTGCCTTCACAGACACAGGACTTTTTACATTCTTTGTAAATACACAAAATTGCATCAAAGAGAGATTGGCCTATTGCCAATTTCTACTCCCAGCTGGAACACCCGTGGGGCCCCACGCTTAGACTGGATTGAATGGGGCAACACGATGCGAGAGTCTGTCATGCCGGGAGACACTGGTAAGGGAAGGGGACAGAGAGGCCAGGAGAGGGGTGACGACAGGATGTCTCGTGTCTGTAAATCTGAGGGGGAAGCATTTTGGGGTGTCCCAGCCCGTTGGGGTGTTTCAGCCAGCATGGCTCTGTCTCTGCTCCTGGCCCCACATTTTCAGCAGCAACCACTGTGGG